AGTGAGCTCCCATTACTTATTGCAGTTTCTGCCAACCTAGCAGTTCAAAAACATGTAAAAATGCAAGTAGAAAAATAGGAACCATCTTTGGTGGGAAGGTAACAGTGTTCCGCACACCTTTGGCATTTAGTCATGCCGGCCACATGATCACGGAGATGTCTTCGGACAGTGCTGGCTCTTCGGCTTTGAAACGGAGATGAGCACCGCCCCTAGAGTTGGGAACGACAGCACATATGTGCGAGGGGAACCTTTACTTTTTATATACATATTACACACTACACAGGCACCTGTGAATAAACACACCTGGGCTCAGTCAGGATATAAAGGGGTGCAGTGACATCTCCTTCCACGTTGCGAAAGAGGGAATTCTCCTCTGGGGTTAATTTCATATCAAAATGTTGACAATTCTCCTCTTGAACTGAGTACAGGTAGTCCTCGACTTACAACAGTTCATTTAGTGACCGTTCAAAGTTACAACGGCGCTGGAAAAAGTGACATGACTGTTTTTCACAGTTACAACCTTTGAAGCATACCCACGGTCATGTGATCAAAATTCCGATGCTTGGCAACTGGTTCGCACTTATGACAGTTGCTGGGTCCCTGATCACATGATGCCTTTTTTGCAACCTCCTGAGACAAGCAAAGTCAATGGGGAAGCCAGATTCACTTAACAACTGGGTTACTAACTTACCAAGTACGGTGATTCACTTAACAATTATGGCAAGCAAGGTTGTAAAATGGGTCAAAACTCACTTAACAACATAAATTTTGGACTCCATTGTGGTTATAAGTCAAGAACTACCTGTAGAGGAATTTGGGCCTCTTCCATCCAGGTGCTTCTTTTGCTTCACAGGAGTATGATATACTTGACCTGGCATAGGAGGAGCCTGTCAGAGAGTTCAAATGGGCAATGGAATCAAGCCATTTGCTGGATTGAATAATTTTGCCTCTAAGAAGGTATTTCCATAACAACTATAAGCCTGCATTGTTATCTTTAGAATGTGGTGGGTAAAATTCTAGCTAACCCTAGTAGAGTGTTCAGAACTGAGCAAAGGTATGAAACGTTGATATTTAGTCCATTAAATAGGTATACACAGAAAATATGCTTTGCTGTTGTATAGATTGACCCAGTTTGTTTACATTTTTATTTTTAAAATGGGTTTATGAAAGGCTATTAATTGCCCAACACCAGCTCTCTGCTCAAATATGCTATGTGTATTAATACAGTTTCCTGCAAGTCCTTTTTTCCCCTACACTGGAGATGTTTAGTAGCGTTCCTTGTTTCATTTGATTATTGTAGTCTCAGCATTGTTCTCCTACTGCTATAAGAAAAAGATAGTTAAAATGTATCTTCCCCTATGCTAATTTATTCAGTCTTATCCATTTCATAGAAAAAAGCAAGGTGCCCATTTCTGGATTGTTAAAGTGTGTGTCTGTGTGTGTCTGTGTCTTTGTGTCTTTGTTTTATACTTTCATGCATCTTTATATGACTTTCTTAATGTTGCTAGGTATTTTGTTTGCAATATTTGTACATACTATTAAATGTTCAAGAAATATCTTCATATGGACAGCCTTAATCACTGCCAGAATCAGCATTATTTACTGTATTGTACTATAATGAGGTTTTGTTTGTTATACATACTGCATTTTAGGATACAAAGGTTATTCAAGTGGCTTGCAAAATATGAAAATGGTAGGAAAATTCAAAGTTAGCCTTAAATAAAGCATTTATTACATTTTTAACTATAGTAATTGGATCAGTAAAACCCCTATTTAAAATCATCCAGATATGCTTTCTAAGGAAGGGAATTGTACAATGGCAGTTCTTAGCGCCTGGAGTTGTTTTCTCATGTTTCTGAAATGATAGATTATACTTGCAGCCAGGTGAACTATGGTAGGTCTTGACAGGTTCATATAACTGCAAAAAGGTTTCCAAGTAACCTGCTTAAGGCCTTCATTCTAACAGCTAGCAGTTGAATAGATTTGTTGTTGTTAGTTGCGAAGTCGTGTCCGACCCATTGCGACCCCGTGGACAACGTTCCTCCAGACCTTCCTGTCCCCTACCATCCTCTGGAGTCCATTGAAACTCACACCGACTGCTTTAGTTACTCCATCCAGCCACCTCCTTCTCTGTCGTCCCCTTCTTCTTTTGCCATCAGTCTTTCTCAGCATTAGGCTCTTCTCCAGTGAGTCCTTCCTTCTCATTAGGTGGCCAAAGTTGAATAGATACATTACATTATATGACTGAATTCATACATCATGTTAATCATTTCCTGACTAAACTATTTGCTTGAAGATGTTAAGCTATCAACCGAGCTGTATTTTGTCAGCTACAGTAGCTGGATTAACAAAAACTCCATTTTTATCTTAAGATGTATAAAAAACAAAAATAAGCTACAGTTTTTTTGTTTTTATTTCCATAGACACCTTGACCTTGAAGATGGTGAGTAGCCAGCCAAAATACGATCTAATAAGAGAGGTTGGTCATGGCAGCTATGGTGTGGTATATGAAGCAGTAGTAAGGAAAACCTCTGCACGTGTTGCGGTGAAGAAAATTCGGTGTCATGCTCCAGAGAACGTCGAACTAGCCTTGCGTGAGTTCTGGGCACTTAGTAGTATTAAAAGCCAACATCCAAATGTAATCCACTTGGAAGAATGCATATTGCAAAAAGACGGCATGGTTCAGAAGATGTCCCATGGTTCCAGCTCTTCGCTTTATTTACAGGTAAATGAAGTTGCAGATAATGAAACATTGCATTAAAAGATTTTTTTAAAAAAAGGAACAGCTATTTGGATATCGAACAGTGAAATAGTGATTGCCATTCCATATAAATACAGAAAAGTAAATATCTTTGCTTTTCTGTATTTGATATAGTTTTAGATATTTCAAAAATCTTGCCACTAAGCAACATTAAGCTTCAGGGAAACAACTGAGTACAGCTCCACTGAAGAACATTGGGTCTTCTCAGGACATTCAATTAATTGTCTCTGAGTGCTTGTTTAAGCAGAAATGTAGTTTATACATTGGGTAAATAATTTTTGTAGCATTATAAGGAAAAATTGATCCCCCTTGGAAAAGGTGCATTTAAAAAATCAACATTGTGGTAAATAACTTGATCAACTCTAATGAAATATGTTTTGCTCTTTGAACTCAATTATATATTGAGATTAATAAGAATAAAATGACATTAAAATAATATATTAGAAGTACTCTTCTTAAAATGTCATTAAAAAAACTATAGGTCAAGTTCTTATCATCCAGTATGCTACAGAATTATAACAGTCTATGAAAACAAATTAGTTTTATTTTTATGCTAATAAGATGGTCAAAAGAGCTGCTCAGCAATATATATTTCATTAATGGAATATAGAAATACACTTGGGACATTTAAAATTAACTTTTAAAATTAAAAGCTAAATCCTCTTGTTTTGCAGCTGTGCTATTTTATTGTTTTTTCAGGTTAGTCTGGTCACATTTAATTACACAAATAAAGAAAGTTGTGCTCAGTGGTCCATTAAATAAGTTTTATTACCAAGAGTTAAATTAACATTTGGCATTTATGCTCATAATAATAATCTCTGATTTCCACCTCAAATCTATAGTTTGTAGTGTTTGTCATTTAACATATTATGCTAATTCATGGTTTGTTGAACAATCTACTAGTCCATTATGTGATGTGTCAAATGCAAAAGACCAGGTCCACACATGATTTCGAATTAAATTGATTTATTGATCAGCAGTCTATGCATAGGAATCTACTCAACTAAATCATTCATACCTTCTTCAAATTAGATAAGTGTTCACAGAAATTGGGGGTTGGGGGTTGGATTTAGTTCACTTATGGCTATGTAGAGATTGTAGGCTGATCCTTCTTTTAACTTCTCCAGGGTCTGCCACTCCTTCTCCTACATTTTGTTTGTTTTAGCTTAGCATAAATTGAACATGGGCAATTATGGTTTATTAAGTTATAAAGGTTTGGTTTACACAACAGTCACTTATAAGCCATAAGGATAAATTCATATTAAGCCCAAACCAAACTAACAACATTTTGGATTACCATAATATGTAAACACAGACTTATTTTCTGTGTTACCGGCAAATCAGAAATGAAAATGTAGCTTGGATTGGCTTTATAAACCACATAAGGGCATTTGCAGGAGAGCATGAAATGATGAAATTCAAATAATTTTTCTACTGCATCATGACATAAGCAATGTAAAATAATCCCTTATACTAAAGAACAGAAAATGAGCAAATGGAAAATGATATTAAATAAACATAGCTCCAGACTAAGATTTACTTTTTTGTTTAGAAGCCAGTATTTCCCTAGATTTAAGGGGCCCTTGGACAGTCACTCACAGTTTGACTATTGTGCTATTACATTGGGATTTAAATCATATTTGTTCAATATATACATGAAATATCTTTGTATTGTAGCTTGTAGAGACCTCCTTGAAAGGTGAAATTGCCTTTGACCCCAGAAGTGCCTACTATCTTTGGTTTGTGATGGATTTTTGTGATGGAGGTGATATGAATGAATATCTCCTATCCCGAAAGCCCAGCCGTAAGACCAACACTAGTTTTATGCTTCAGCTCAGCAGCGCCCTGGCTTTTCTGCACAAAAATCAGATCATTCACCGTGACCTCAAGCCTGACAACATCTTGATCTCTCAAAGCAGGATGGATGCTAGTGACTTGGAACCCACTTTGAAAGTAGCTGACTTTGGCCTAAGCAAAGTTTGTTCAGCATCAGGACAAAATCCCGAAGAGCCTGTGAATGTAAATAAATGTTTTCTGTCTACAGCTTGTGGCACAGACTTCTACATGGCTCCTGAGGTTTGGGAAGGTCACTACACTGCCAAAGCAGATATTTTTGCATTGGGGATTATAATCTGGGCAATGTTAGAAAGAATCACTTTCGTAGACACAGAGACAAAGAAAGAACTCCTGGGCAGTTACGTGAAACAAGGGACTGTGATTGTACCTGTTGGAGAGGCATTGCTGGAAAATCCGAAAATGGAACTACTCATACCTGTTAAGAAAAAGAAAATGAATGCTCGCATGAAACAGCTGATTAAGGAAATGCTTGCTGCTAATCCACAAGACCGGCCAGATGCTTTTGAACTAGAACTCCGGTTAGTCAAAATTGCTTTTAAAGACAGCAGTTGGGACACGTGACTTCTGAAGTACTTTGCCTTTGTGGCAGAAATGTGTGTAACAATGGTGCAGCATTTTAAAGAAGCAAAAACCAGACTAATCAACATTTCAAGCGTCAGGGTTCCATATGTTTTCCCCATTGCATTTCTCTTTATTTTTATACGCTAAGCAAAAGGTTGCTCTTCTTGTTTCAGTATCCAAACATGTATGTTCCCAAGCTACATCTGTAAAAAGCTTTCCAACTTGTCAGGAAAATTAACAAGTTAGGCAATGGTTTTATAGGAATACTTTATGGAATATTTCAAACATTCCAATTTCTTACTGCGGAATCTTGAATGCCCTTGAAGGAGAAGACTTGCATGCTGGTAATGCAAATCATCTATCAACTTTGTAGAGTAGATGTGTATATATTTATGTCACAATGTGTGATGTAACCCCTTCCAATATGGAAAAGATACGTCCCAAATTTATAGAATCCATAGAATTGAATGACTGTGACACATTCTTTGATGCCCCAGCTTCTGTATCCATTCCCTTTTCTTCCCCTTAAAACAATGTGATGACACAAAATGAGGTCTACACTATGATGCACAAGGAACCTCTGATTCAAGCACTGTAGGGAGAATCTTAATTTGGAAGGTTGTATTAAATAAGCTGACGGCTTATTCCAGTTGAGGTGCCAACACTTTGTCGTGATTCCGTACATTTAGTTACCTTTTTTCAAGGATAACCAAATGATTATTTGATAGATCCAGAGTTACTGGTCACAGCTATATTTTGTATTTGATATTAATTCTTATTTTAATTTGGGATTTTTAAAAAACAGAATATTTAAATCTTCAACTATGATTCCCTCAAGATTTAGTTTGTTGTTTGGCAGAGATTTATTACCTCTGTTCCCCATACAGTTTGGGTGAAAATTAGAGAATAGTGGGCACTGTTTTCTTAACACACATACAGAAAGCGGTGTGTGTAATTAGTTCAACCAGAAGCCTAAATGTTCATTCCACTATCATTGTGCCCCACTGATGTGACATTACTACTATTGCCCATTGTACTGGATCATAACTGGAGTCTGTACTGCTAGAGTGAATCTCTCCCTCTCTTTGTTTTCATCTGAAGCACTCAGCAACCTGCTTCTCTCCAGGTTACTGGTTCACAGGTTTGCAGCATCTGTTCATACATACAGTTCAAAAGAATTGCAAACCTCGTACGATAAGCAAATGAAAACTCAGTTTATGAGTATAAATACTGTTAGATAAATTTCATGAGAGGGAATAGTGCAGTATATGTCTTCATGTCAAAAAAAAATGTCAAAAACATTTTATTGTACAGGTAGAAACTATCCTGGTGCCATCAGCTACAGCACAGAAACCAGAAAGCCCTTTGTTTTCTTAAGAGAAGCACTGTAGACATTATGTTTTAAAATCCTTGTTTGATGTACCTAGAATCTGAAAAGTAGATAAGAAAAGGTATTTGTTTACTCCTTAGCTGCTATGTCCACATTAAACAAGGGGACATTCAAGGGGATATATTTCTAAAACTTGAAAAATACATGGTGGGTTTTGTTTTGTTTTTTGCTCAGTGTAGTTATCAGTCATGTAATATAATCCTTTACTTGCTAATAGTAAGCAAGTCTCACAGAGTTCAGTGAGGTAAGTATGCATAGGATTGTTACTTTAATAGTTGATGCAATTTTGGAAAAAAAAATCAAATTATTCTCTCCCCCCCCCCTAAAATAACAAACAAAAATGTCACATTAACACAGAGATCTATTTTAAGAGAATTTCAACTAGGGTAGCATATGTCCGGCTTGCAGTGCTAAATTGTTTTAGCTGAGGATCCAGGTAATGTTCTTCCTTTAACTGAGAGGATAAGATAAGGGCTTGACTTATATACATTTAGAATATCAATGTTTCAAAGTAAGCAAACATCTTCATTCTTTAAAGCACCATTTGTGCCTTTAGAGAAGATTGCATTGCACATAGGATGACACCTCAGTGGTTATCCTGTGCTTAATGATATTGTGTATCCCATCAGCTGAACAGTTATATAATATTTGTGTCAAACAAAAAGAATACAAGTGCAGGATCTTGACAGTCCTTATGTATTAGAAAAACCAGCAACTCTCAACCACGTATGTCCTATCTAATTACTCCATAGAGTTTCTTGGCACTTAACAAGCCTTTCAGATTTTTGGATATACTATTTGGTGTACTTTTTAGTGCAGTGCAGAAGCTACAAACAGAGCAAATTATATATTGCCCAGTAACACAGTTAATGTTAAAAGTGCCCTTGTTTCTTATTTTTAAAAATTGGGAAAACTTCCCTGGTCATTTCTGTTCATGGTGCTTAGTATGTTGGCATTGAATGTCAACGATTGTTCCATTTATTACCTGCTGAATAATTGTCCCTTAAAATCTCTGTGTGTGATTTTTGTTGTTGCTTGTGTTTGGTTTGATTTCCTGTAAAATCTTTAAAACCAATTGTAGCAGTCACAGAACAATCCACCAGCGTAACATAAAATAAAAAAATAACTCATCAGCACTTCAAAAGAGAAAGCAGTTTCAAAGCTTTCTCTTATAAATTGTAAATTTTATTTTGTGAAAAATTTATTAAGGGGGGAAATTATTGTGTAATTTATTGAGTTAATGACTTTTTTTAAAAAAATAAATAAAAGTCTGAATTGGTCCATGAGTTGTAATATTTTTTTTATTCTTGTTAGTTAAATTAATTCTATTTTGTTAATTTTTCGAGGATAGAATTTTACTGTGTGGTGAAGATAGACAGATAGATTAGATAGGTAGACAGACAGACAGACAGACAGACATGTTTTTTGAGCAAGGAGTTGAGTTGGAGCAAATCTTGACATCTCTTTCATTATTTTCTCTAGAAGCAGTTACAAAAAATAGCAACTGGTTTACATGGCCTATTTTAGGAGTCAATAAAAACAACTTAATAGATGGATAGTTTTGTCAATTGATCTACAAGCTTAGCTTCTCTCTTCGTTCTCAAACATTCTATTATTGTTAGGATTACTCTTCTGCTTCTTAAATACCTGTTCTTCAAGTAATGTCCTTATTCAAGCATCAACACGCACAAAGATTAATCTGATTGCCTGTTCAGATTCAGTTAGAATATTCAGTTAGAGCAACATAGACTCTCTGAAAGTAGTTCTATTGGACATGCTTGGCTATAAAATATTAATGAGTAATTTTGTACACTGTTCATTTCTGTGAAAGAAGTACAGAGCTCAATGTACACATCCTGATTTGCAGCATAGTTCCCAAAAATAAAATTATATCTATGACTTGCGAGTATAGTCTGGCTGATAAGCACTCCCTACTTCTGGGATCTGAAAGGAACTGGTACATCTCATTTTAGAAACCTGGGAGAATTTATAGATAAGTAAATTCCATCTGTGGAGCTGAAAACTAGCTTCTTGAAGATCAGATTTCAAAAATTCTTGTTTACACAGCTTCAACATACAGTACTTGCCCTGCCCTAACTTTTGTGTGCTTATCTACACCGTGGGAGATGCAGCTTTGTGCAGCAGTTTGCAGATTTTCAGTGTCATGTTTCTTACTTTCGATTTGTTTGTTTTCTGAGAACATTTCAAACGGTGCTCTTCCCCATTCATCAGCCAATGAGGGCTTCTGGCTGAAACTGCAGCGTAATGATCATAGACCGTTGCCTGGTCCGGTTAGCTAGATAAATTTTGCATAGAGGAAGCTAAACAACATCTGAAGTTTCTGTTCTCTGAACACTTTCCGTATGAAAAGTCACACTGATTGGTTCAAAATCCAGTTGAAGATACCTGCCCAATTCGTCTTTGTTAAACACATATTAGGTTTGTGTTTTGAATGTTTTAAAAAGTAAGTTTTTAAATAGTTTTTTTGCATATGCTGGTAGAAACAACTGGCTGACTGCAAAAAACCAAGCACAATCAGACTTGGTTAGCATTGGGGATAAACCAGAAAATTTCACTTTAATATTTAAGTCTACCAAAAAAATACTAGGATTAAAGGTTGGACTAAATAGTACTGTAAGAAAAATATTCTGGAACAAAACAAAGACCAAACATTTCCATATTGCCACTGAGAAAATTACAAGGTGTTTTCTGAATGAGTTTAATCTATTTTAAACAGTGTCTCCAACCTGGGTGGTTCATTTTAATCATAGTTTGTTAATCCACAATGACAAGCCCATGATGGCGAACCTATGGCACATGCCACAGGTGGCACACAGAGCCCTCTCTGCAGGAACGCCAGCCATCGCCCCAGCCTAGCTCCAGTGTGCATGCACGCCGCCTCCTGCTGGCCAGCTGGTCTTCGGGTTTCTGCCACGCATGCATGGGGGTGGGGCGCATGTGCGGGGGGAAACTCGCATTGCATTTTGGGATCTCGGGCAGCGCCCCTGCATCCCGTTTTGGCTTCCAAGTGGGTGCTAGAGGCCTTCCAGTCCCAAAACGGAGTGCGGGGGGGGCGCATTCATTGCATTATGGGTGTGGGTGCGCACGCTTTTGGTACGCAATGACAAAAAGGTTACCCGTTACTGACCTAAGCCATAAACCATGTTTATAATCACAGTGTTTGGGTTCAAATTCAAACAAATAACATTATGGCTTAAGATGATATGTAGATAGCTTTGTGCAGCCTTATGTTGAAATCTGTTTCATCCATAATGAAATTTATGCTCTATTTTCTGGAGATCTTTATACATAGTTTGCTTTCCCATGCCTACTTTATAATGCTACTGGGAGCCAGCATTTTGACAGGTCATCTTGCCACTCCTTTTAAAAATAAAGAAATATTTTCTCCACCAATATAAACTGCAACATCACAAAGCATTGAGAAATACTGATCTTCCTCTGAATTGTTCCGGCCGGACTACCTATAAATCAAATAGATCAGTTACCAGACCAAATCAAATATTTTCTAGGCATGATAAAAAGAAATGTGAGGTCTTTGTTTTTCAAGATGGCATGTTTAAGCAAGTTGAGTTAATGCAAAAACTGGAGGAGGAGGATTTTAAAATGTTGTTTTCATAATTTATTGGTTGAGCAATTCTGGCTAGAAATGCACAAGACAGGATAATAGCAACTGGAAATTGTTGCAATACCTTTTATATCCCCTAGGTGGTACATTTCTCTATCATTTGTTTCAAATTTCATTTTTCTTTGCTTGATGGTCTCTGCTGCATTCAATTCTATTTTCTCACCTGAAGGACAGATGCAATAACAATGAGTGAATAATCATAACAAGCACTGTATCCCAGAATACTTAGGGCACCTATTCTTAAATCTGACATTCATGTCCTTTTTCCTATAATTCTTGTTGGGGAATCTTAACTTTCAGAGGGGAAAAAACACACCATTGTACTACATGTTTGGCAAGCAGGAAATCTATTTCCTAATCCTGCTCAGGCTCACTTCCTGAGAAAGGCTGAGTAAATGACTGGAGGGAAGCTACTTCCATAAAATTGATGGATTCCTCTTTCCAGAGTCATCCAAACCTTGTGTCAAAATAATATAATGGGAAAAAGTTTTTAAAAAAATATCGTTTCAATGATAGCTGGCTGGGTTTATGGCACGTATAATGAGAATGATTTAGAATAAGAATAGAATAACTTTATTGTCACTTTAAATGTATAATAATTGACATACATTAAAATGAAATGTTGTTACATATAGCTCTCAAAGGATTACACCTCCAATATACACTACATAAACATGAAAAACAAACAAATAAACAAATAAAAGGCATATACCCACATATATTATATGACACAGAGAAACAACACAGTCTAGTTTGGATGTGTACCTGGCGAGAAAAAACAAATCTTGCTAGTGTACTAGACGGATGACAAAGGGAACGAAGCTCTTACAGAATCTGATAATCCTGCTAGAAATACTTTCAATGTTGGGCTGGGTAAATTATGCTTTTATTCTATTCAAAGTTTGTTCTCTTTAAGCAGCATCTCTGACCAGAGATTATTTCTGAAAATTTTTCCTACCTTCATACTGGAGACGTGCATATTTGTCTTTGGTTGCTATATAGCAATAGCAATAGCAATAGCAGTTAGACTTATATACCTCTTCATAGGGCTTTCAGCCCCCTCTAAGCGGTTTACAGAGCCAGCATATTGCCCCCAACAACAATCTGGGTCCTCATTTTACCCACCTCGGAAGGATGGAAGGCTGAGTCAACCNTTGTGTGTCCAATCACACTTGGCCAATAAATAATTCTATTCTATTCTATTCTATTCCATTCCGGTCCAGTCTAGTGTAGTGTAGTCTATTCCTATTCTATTCGGTCCAGATTCCTCACAGATAAGGCCTCTTCTCAAGCAATTATGAAAAATGAGAAGCAATGTCGCTTCCAGGTAAAATATTAACAGCTGCAGAAGACAATTGTGGATAAAATCTCACCCATCAGATTTCAACCTTCATCATGTCCCTGCAGCATATAAAGAAGCATCTCCACCGACTGGTATGGCGAAAAAGGCGGCAGCCCAAAAATGCCACCTACCAGCCCAACGCTAAGAAAATACTAATTGACTATTGATGCTGAATACCGGATTTTCTCCCTCCTCCTTTAAGCTAAATCAACTGAACTATTAAGCATGAAATATGCACCAAATTAGAGGCAGGAAAACAAAGAGGAGAGATGCAAACAGATCCAGCAGGAAGATATCCAGTGATCGCCACGGTAGCCTTTGGGCGGGGGGTGGGGGTGGAGGTAATCAGTCAAAAAACGGGCAGAACGGGCCGGGGAGAGGGCTGCAAAAAAAGGAGGAGAAAAGCCTAGCAGCTTCCACCAAAGACGGTCCTCGGGTCCCGGGAGAGAGAGGGAGGCTGCGTGCGCGAAGGACAGCCGCTGGAACGAGCCGCCGTCGTCATCACGACCCAAACCTCCCCGGAATAATCCGCCGTGCATCGTCCGGGGGATCGCCCTCAAGATGCCCAAGAGCAGCCGACTTCGAGCGACCTCTTGCTCTATTCCCAACGAGGCGCCTCCAAGCCAATGCGGTTTTTAATCTCGATCCAGGGAGCCCGCAATCGCAGCAGAGAACTGCACCGCAGCACCAGCACCGCCGTATTTGGGTGCCGCAACGCAATGCAACACTCCGGCCATGCAAACGACCGACAAAAAAAGTCGTGCGACACAAACCATTCTGCAAGGGTCCCCGGCGAGCGCGCGAGCCTAATATAGCGGTCATGGCGAGGGAGGGAGGGAGAGGGAGAGGGAGAGGGAGAGAGACAGACAGAGACACAGAGGGAGAGAAACACAGAGAGAGAGAGAACACACAAAGAGACAGACACACACAGAGAGACTCACAGAGACTGACACACATACACACACACAAACACAAACACAGAAAGAGAGAAACACAGACACACACAGAGAGACGCAAACACACAGACAGACACACCGACTCACAGAGACAGAGACACAGGCAGACAGGCAGACGCACACACATACACACACACACACAAAAAGAGAGGGGGGAGGGAGGGGGGCAGCCAATGAGAAAGGCGCGCTCCCCTCCCCAACTCGCGAAATGGACGCCCGAAGGCCCGCCTCTCATTTGAGAAACCAATCAGAGAAGCGGAGCGAGCGAGCGCCCGGGCCGACTTCCCGGAGCGCGGGACCGCCCCTCGGGGTGCGCGCGACGGGCCCAGGAGGGGGT